CGACAAATGGGTTGGGTAAGTGTGGCCTTGGCCAGTCTCCTTGGTCCCTGGAGATGGCTTGCGGAGGAGTGACCCTTCCTTGGGGGACACAGGGCATCACATCCTAGATGGGGTGAGGGTCTGAAGATCAAGGGGAGGAGATGGCACATAGCATCTCGCAGGAGCTTTTATGGGACCAGCAGCCTCCTGTGGAGCCCCCAGCTGCTTTGCCTCCAGTGGAGGAAGCTTGCGGGGTTCTGACAGCACCAGACGCGCTCACTGGCTTGGTTGAAGGGCCATCGTATGGGAAAACATGACGCCTGGTGCCCTGTGTCCCTAAGATGGCATGGATCAGGCGGGGGTGATTGTCCTCATTTTACAGATGGGAAACTGAGGCAAAGAACGAGGGAGGGACTTGGCAGGGTCACTCGGGGGTGGGACGGAGTGCTCCCTGGAGTGCACCCCACGAGGGGCCAGCTGGGACACGCACCCAGTGAGCACAAGGAACTTCAGGCCTCCCTGTCCCCCGCCCCCGCCCATGTCTCTGCAGGCGCTGGTGGACCTCCTGCTGACGGGTGGGCTGGCAGGAGCCACGGCCGTGGCCTGGCACCGGGTGAGCCCGCCGGCCGCCCGCCTGCTCTACCCGTACCTGGCCTGGCTGGCCTTCGCGGCCGCGCTCAACTACTGCGTGTGGCGGGACAACCGAAGCTGGCGCGGGGGCCGGCGGCTCGGTGACTGAAAGCGCACCGTCCTCCGCGGACCCCAGCTGCTGCGATCAGACGCTGCCCGGGGTGGCGGCCCATGTGCTTCTGTGGCCGCCTGGCCTGTGGGTCTGTCTGGGTCTCAGCCCCGGGGGTCACCGCCGGCTGCAGAGGTGCCCCAGGCTGAGCCTCTATGCCAGGAACGGTGTCCTGAGCTTCCTGCTCCGCTCCAAGTGCGCTCTCGGAACACGGGAGGCTAGAAGCCAAATAAAGTTTGTAACCTCCTGGCAGTGGCCTTTTTACTTGGGGGGGGCCTCCTGGCTGTGGGGAGGGAGGGGTGCTTACCCCACTGCCGGACGTGGCCAGCGCTTCATCGGTGCTTCTTGGGTCCCTCCCAAGACCCTCTGAGAGGCAGGGTGGCCTTCCCCGGAGCAGAGCAGCCCGGGTTCGTCCCGGAGCCCACACCCAGGCTCTGCTGTGTAGACTGGTGCACAGCAGGCCCGGGGGTCGGTCCTGTCCACTCTCTAAGCCTCCAGGAAGCTGGGCGCAGGGCATGGGCCCGTAGTCTGCTGGGGCTACTGCCCCAGGGCCCTCGCTGGCCTCGGCAGGGACAGGGCTGGGCCTAGAACTGGGGACACCGCCCGACCTGCCCCCCGGGGGGCCGGGGGCAGCCCTGTAAACACCGGATCGGCAGTGAGGCCCGGAGACTGCAGCCTCTCGCTGGTCCAGGCCTCCCCAGGTGGGGATGTGTCACCCCCAGCTTTGTCCAGGTCCAGGTCCTCTGCAGGCAGCTGCTGGGGGCAGGGGAGGCTGGCGGAGGCCTGTCACCCTGGCAGGCTCCCGCTGGGGCAACACCCCTGCTCCAGCCGGAAGCCGTGGTCTGGGCCTCGCCGCATCGCCGCGGGGCACCGGGGCGCGGGGGGGCCTGGGACCTGTGGGCCTTTGGTGGCTTGTTTTGTTTGGTTGTTGGTCACTCACACAGGCAAACGGGTTGTTTCACTGTCATCTGGGCAGGCCGGGTGCTCTGCTGCCGGCTCCCTGACCTTTGCCCTCTTCTCACACTCAGATGGGACCCAGTTACATTAGGAAAGCTCCGGGAGAGAGCAGACCACACTCGGCCGAGGGCAGGGGTGGCTCTCTCCCCAGGGCTGTCACCTCCGCTGGGACTGGATGCTGGCAGATGGTGCCCTGCGGGGAGCGCCAGCAGCACCTCCCCAGCTCCCAGGCCCCTTTCTCCGATGCTCCCCAGAGGACTGGGCTCCAATGGGGGACTCTTTGATCATCCTTTCTATCATTTCTGAAGTTCTCCAAGATGGTCTGGGTGGGGGGTCCCAAAGTGTCATCCCAGGCTCCCGTGGGCCCTCAGATGTGCTGTACTTAGCACTTACGTGCTCCTGAGACTTCTGCAATCCTTTCCGTGATGCTCACGCAGGCTCTTTTTTTGTCTGTCCCACTCGCTGTGGCTTTGTTCTTCTCTAGCAGTATCCCAATGCCTCCTCCCAGCCACACGACACGCGTGGCCACAGAAATGACTAGAAAAATGGACGAGACAGATGTACTTAGCCATTCCGTCTGCCGCTTTCTTGTGATGCTCTCCCCCAATCCCAGTTCTTCCTAAGTAGACCGCCTTCTCTCCTTTTCTGAGCTTTGGCTTCTGCTAGCAGCCTGAGGCTCCTGACAATGTCCACGTTGGTTTGATAGGAAAGCGGATGTCAAGTCCTTCTGGTCTGCATTCCTTCCTGGAGCTACTTCGAGCTGTTGAAGTCTTAAATCCGGGCATTTGCTTCCCTCTGTAGCCAGCTGGCCACAAAGGACACAAGACAAGGTGATTCACATAGCTCAGGAGGGCTCAGCCAGCCGGCCATCGGCAGGGACACAGCAGTGACCGTCAGGCATGTGCTGAGTGATTTAATGTTTCCATTGGCCCCTGTGGATCTCTGGTACCAAGAGGTTCTAACTATGTCGGTGCCTCTCCAGGAAGGAGCTGCCACGTTTGGTGGTGTTTATGTGGCCACGGATCATCACTGAGGATCTTTCTAGATTTTGCTGTCAGCCTCTCAAGTTTTACCTTTTGGATTTCTTGTGTGGTTCTGTAGAACTTTGGTACAATGAATACTATGGCTGTGACTCCCTGGTCAACTCCAGACGTCCAGCTCTTACAGATTTTGCACTCTGATGAATTCTGAACACGGGGGCACCCGGGGGGCTTGGTCTGTTGGGCGTCTGCCTTTGGCTCAGGTTGTGATCCCAGGGTCCTGGGACCGAGCTCTGCATCAGGCTCTCTGCTCAGTGGCAAGTCTGCTTCTCCCTCTTCCTCTGTCCTTCCTCCCTCTACCCCCATGCACTCTCTCTCAGATAAAGTCTTTAAAAAAAAAATCTCAACACAAAGTGACCCCAGTGAAGATTATACCAGAAAGAAGCATTTCCAGAGATAAGAACCGTCTGCACTGCAAGCGGTCTGGTCTTTAAGCACAGTGGGAGCCCTGCCTGATGCCCTTCCTCAGGCGTCATCTGATTTCCACTGATGAGAGGCGCAAGGACGTCTAGAATGGGGGAAAAGCCCGTTTATAATTGAGCCTGGATCATGTGGTCCTCTGATCGCTCCGAGTATCCTGGGTAACCGGGTTTGAAGTGGACTGGTAATGCGCAGGCCCACCCTCCCTGTTGGGCGTGTGGATGAATGCCCTGGAGTGAGTGCCCGTCCAGAGGGGCACAGGCGGTCCCCTGCAGGGCATGTGCCCATCAGTATGTTGCAGGGCCTCTGCCCACCACAAGGGGGCGTCACTGGGCTGGCCTACAGTGCTCACACCCCTCCTGCATCCGCCCCCTGGACCCTCCGGCTGTCGAGAGCAGCTAGGGTCTCCCATTACCCCCAGCCCCAGGGTGAGGAAACAGGTAGGAAGAGAATCCCGTGTCCTGAGGCCCCAACAGTGTGTGCTGAGCCAGGATTCAGGGCTGGCACGAGGACGAGGCTCCTGGGCACTGCCCATGATGCCGAGGGGAGCCTCAGCTCCGCATCTGTCCCCGCTGTGTTCTGCTCTGAAATGGAACCAGTGCTGGGGAATCCAGCTTTTGGGGAGGAACCTGCTGTGGTCTGAGTGGTCCCCCAACCCCCTATGTTGAATCTTACCCTCCCACTGTGTCATAGTCACAGGAGGTGGGGACTTCAGGAAGGGATCAGGTCACAAGGGTGGTGCCCTCATGAATGGGGTCACTGCCCTTACAAGAGAACCCACAAAGTTCCCTTGCCCCTTCCCACATGAGGACACAGTGGCCATCTGCGAACCAGGAAGAGGGCCTTATAGACGCCAAGTCTGCCGCCCAATCCCGGGACGCCCCCACTCCAGAACCGTGAGGAAGGAACTTGTGTCACGCGAGGCCCGGGGTTGTGGTTTTGTTACTGCAGCCCTAACAGATCCAGATGGGCACCTGGCAGCCCAAACGCCATCTTCTCTCATTTCTCCAAGGGGACGTCTTGATATTTTGGTTTTCTTTGACAACCGAACAGGAAGACAGCTGACACACGGTGCTGGGCCTGTGGTTCCGGGGCCTCCACACAGAGAGGGAGGCTGAGGTCAAGAAGGCCTAGTTTATTACGGTACAGGTCGCATCAAGGAGAGGGCCGGACGCCAGCGGCTCTCCAGGGGAAAAACCAGAGACCGTGTGTCCTGCTTGCTACATCATGGCTCAGCAGGATAGAAGGGGCGTCTCCCCAGCCGACAGACTGAGGTTCTGGGTCACAAAGAAGATGGACACACACTGCCAAGTGGACACACGGATGGGAGGCACAGCCCAGCCCAGTTTTGTTTCTTGGCTTCACAGTGAATGAAGCTCTGTGCCCCACCCCCACCCCCCCCAAGGAGGGGGGGGTCAAACTCTCCCCCCACCCCACTGTCAACTGGGCCTGGGGCCACTGGGGCTACACAAAACACACCAGCATCTGACTCCAAATTTCAGAAACAAAGTTACGGAAATAACAAGAATCTTTATATTTTCCTCCCATAAATGAAAAACTAACAAAAATCCAACATTTGATGATAGACTCAGGTGGAAGGTGGCACCTGACAATAACATCAAGTTCTCCCTGGAATCATCTTCCTTGGCCGTCCGCTGCCGGGCTCTGCCACCCACACTTGCCCCTGAGGCCCCAGCCGACAGCAGGAGAGGGGGGACAGCTCTGCCGTACCCGGCAGGCAGCCGGGTCTGCCGGGGTCAGAGGAGGACAGCCTGCTCTTGCCACGTGGAAAGGCAACAGCAGCCCAAGGCCGGGAACTTCACGGGAAGCTTGCTGGGAAAGGTTTGGTCAAGAGTGGAAACCAAGAAGGCGCGGTCTGGGGAGCAGGTTCCCAGCTGTTCTGGGGGGCAGGGGTGGGGACACCCTGCCCCAGCGGAGTCACGATACACGAGCAGGCCCCCTGGAGAAGCAGCCCACCCAGCTCCCCGTTCGTATGTGGGCTCCGCAGGTGTTGCTGGGGAAACCTCGTGCTCCCCAGAACCCGCAGCCGCTAACCCCCTGGGAAACAGCAGCCCAGGAACCAGACCCTCCAGAAAAAGCCCTCAGCTGAGCATGGATGGCGGTGAGGGGAGCACGGACAGGGGCCTGGGACTCAGCCCTGGGGACACCGTGCCTGGCCCTGCTCCTGACCTCGGAGGGAAGAGGACCCTGAGCCCCCCGAGGTGACACGGGGATGACAGCTCCAAGACGAGGCTGTGCCGAGGGAGGAGGGGAGGGGCTCGTGGAAGCAGCTCTGCCCGCTGAGGCTGGAAGGGGCCGGCAGGCAGCGCAGAGCCACGAGCACCTAGACCAGGCGGGTGACGTGGCAGTGGCTGGGCTCGTCCAGGTACAGGGCGCTAAAGACGTCGTTGAAGAAGCCCGGGTGGTACCTGCAGGCCCGCTCACAGTCCGGGTTGAAGTTCACCTCCAGGATCTGCGGCTGCATCACTCGCGTCCCTGACGGCACAAGAACACGAGGCACGAGCTCCCCCCGGCTCCGACGCGGCCCGCTGCCCTTCCCCCTCGCGCTCTGTCCTGACGTGAAGGCTGCCCCCTAATGGTGTGCCCCCTGCCCCAGATCTCTGGTGGACCCGAGGCAGACCCCATCTCAGATCTGTCTCTGTGCCCCGGGGGCGGGGAAGGGCTGGATGATGGGCTTTGGGGTAAGCGGAGGGGGCGTGGTTTGGATTACGGGGCGGGGGCGCCCCCTCACCATCTGGACGGTCGTCCCACTTGAGCATGAGGTCGATGGCATACACGGCCCGGGATGAGGGATAGTCGCAGAGGCCCAGGGGCGGCGGCTTGGCACACGCCACTTGGAACAGCTCCGTGAAGGCCTGGAAGATCTCAGCCTGGAGGATGGGGAGGCCAGGATGGGGGCTGCACGGGTCTGAGGCCGGGACCACCCCACCCCCCGAGCAGCTCCTTGTGCGCCTCCCTGCCTCTACCTGAGCTGTGGCCCCAAAGCCCACGATCCCTCCTCCTCCAGCCTCATGTCTGCACCCCTGGCTGCCACCACCTTCTCTGACACCTGCTCCTGGCGTCTGACGACTGCTAAGCTGCCTGGCTACTGCCCCCGAGTCCCCAGTCCCTCTGCACAGAGGTGCACGCCTGCGGGGACCAACCTGGATCTCTGTGCCCATCCTGTGCCCGAGGAGGCCAAGACCTTCACCCAGTCCACACCCGCCCGCAAAGGAAGGCCTGGCCTCTGCAGCTCTGCCCAGGACTCACCTGGACGCTGTTCCAGAGAAATTCCGGGTACTGCTTCTCAAACTCAGGGATGAACTCATCGTAGTGCACCTGCGACAGACACGCGGCCCATCACGCTCTGCCTGGGGCTACCTCGGGGCAGGGAGCGGGGAAGCCTGCCTTGCCTTCGTGTGGGGCTCTGGCACTCGCTGGGGCCACAGGTTAGTGCCCGCAGCCTACCAGCACCCCCGCACCTGGGCACAGATGGGAGGTAGGAGCTGGAGTCTGAGCTCCGGATCTTACTCTTTGACTCAAGACAAGATTTACTTGTCCGGCTCAGCATCATCATCTGTGAAAGGGGACAGTGCCCCTTGTCTGGCATGCTATCGGTGGGCTGGGAGGCTGGACGGACACGGCACCACGTGGGTCTCAGAACAGTGCGCCAGAGGCAGAGGCTGGACCCAGGCCTGAGCTCACCGCTCAGCACCAGCAACAAGCACCTGAGCACGGCAAGGTCTCTCAAGCCAAGTCTTCATCCAAAACACACGGGTGCGAGCCGGCAGCGAGCTCGGTGCCTTCCTCAAAGGATGAGCCAGGACAGGCTCCCTGCGGAAGCCTGATGTTCACATCCTGTTGGCGACACATCCCCCTACCCAGGAGCTTCCAGGAAAACACGACCCTTGGGGTGCTGGAGGGAGGCACTCCGTTCTCTGAGACAACTTCCAACCACGTCCCAGGGCCCTGCGGGTGGCGCAGCGTCCAGGGACCCGCCTGCAACACAGCCCAGGACAGGCAGCAGCGGCGGAGCTGGGCGTGAGCAAGGGCACGGGCGCTCTGAGGCCGCCGTCCACCCTTGAGGGCTGCTGAGACAGGGGCACAGCGAGGCGTCGCCAGGAGCGTTCAGTGCAGCATGTGTACTAATGGCGAAAACCCGAAATGACCTGAATGTCTACTAACAGGTGAATGACAAGAACATCCCAGGACAAGAACGCCCCCAGCCCCATTTAACAATAATGACACATCTTGGGGCGCCTGGGGGGCTTAGTCCTTAAGCCTCTGCCTTCAGCTCAGGTCATGATCCCAGGGTCCTGGGATCGAGCCTCACATCAGGCTCTCTGCTTGGCGGGGAGCCTGCTTCTCCCTCTCCCACTCCCCCTGCCTGTGTTCCCTCTCTCGCTGTGTCTCTAGCAAACTAAAAACAAAACAAAAAACAACTTTATAAAAAGAACAACGATGAATGTACACACGTGATGCTCAGAAAAGAATAAAACCATGGAAAGGTTTGCTCAACAGGCCAGCATTCACGTAAAACCTTACGTACATATGCAGAATCGTCACGTGAATAGTATCGGGATATACTCGTGCTCAAGAGAATCGAAACACGCCTGGAACGGGTAATTACCCCATTCGGAGAGCGGCCACCAAGAGGGCCACGGGCAGGCCTTGGGGGGAGCAGCGTGGGTGAGGGGTGGGGAGGGTGAGCCCTACTTCGCGTTGACCTGAAACCACCACCAACCACTTCTGGGACGATGTGTGAGGCAGCCTTTCTCTCCTCACCCAGAGCTGGCTGTGCCTCTGCCCGGGCTGAGCCTACCTGTCCCAGGTGCACTGCCGGCCAGCCAGGGTCTGAGGCCCTCGCCTCGGAAGGAGCTCTGCCCTGATGTCCTTTCGCCCAAAGTACCCAGACAGCATGGGGGCCAGCATGGATCCAGGATCCAGGCAGGGTCACGGTCCAGCAGCAGCAGCCTGCCCCGGGGGCCATGTGACTTGCACCCCTGTGCCGCCCCACCCTCACCGGTCCCCGTGCTCGGGGGGTGCCAGACGGAAGGCAGTCTGTGGCTCCAGCTGAGACCTGCCCTGCTCAGACCTGCCACAGGACGTGGGGAGGCTACTGCCTCGAGACCGACACGGGTACCAGCAGGCAGCTGGTCTGCACAGTCTGCCCAGAAGACAGGCCGAGGGGTGTGGGGTCTGGGTCTGGCCTGCGTCCAAGTGAACCCACCTGCTTCAGCACCACTTCCGGGTCATAGTTCATGACGGTGAAATGCTTCTCGTAGTCGTCCAGGTCGTCGAGCGCGAAGGGCCTGTGGGAGGAGCGCACGGACACAGGAGGGTCCTGAGCACGGCCGCGTCCCAGCAGGGACGGTGCTCCGAGAGACCCCGCTGGATGCCTGTCCCCCCATAGAGTGAAGGGGTGCCCCGCAGCCCCTCAGAGCTTGTCTGTGAAGACACCCGGACGGCCCACGAACGTCCTCGCGACCTGCACCGCTTGGTGCCCGTCTGACAGTGACAAGCGCCGTCCAGGTCCCCACCCGTGGCTGATGCAGGCGGGGCGAGAACTCCCGCTGGCGGACAGGTCTGGGCTTCCGCCCACCAGGTGCGTGGGCCGCCCGCCAGGTGCGTGGCGGAGAAAGAGGCTTTCCGACCCCGATAAAGGGGGCCCCGTCGCCCACCCCCCAACCGAGAGGCTTCTCGGTTACCGGTTGGAGAAGCGCAGCCAGAACACGTCATAGACAAACAGCCTCAGGGGCTTCACCGAGCGCAGAAGCACGACGTAGCGGATGTCGAACTTGACCGGCCCCACGTCTTCTCGAAGGAACAACACTGGGCTTTCGATGTACTTGGACACGACCTAGAGAACACAGACGCAGGGCTGCGGCCCGCTGTCCCTTCACCTGGGCCCGGAGGTACCCCAACCTTGCCCCATCGGCTTCTGTCCTCACTGGCGACGGGCTCACGCCTGTGGGACATCCGAACACGGTCCCCACATCCTGGAGAAACAGGCACACTCCTGCTCCGACCTCAGGAGCCCTGTGCCCTGCACCTGGCTCCTTCCTCTCTGTCTTTTCAAACCCCGTCTAGGCTGCGGCAAATTCTGAATCTTCACCTTCACTTTAGCTGAAGGAAAAGGTCCCACCAGTTTTCAGGTTTTGACAACCACATTATGAGTTCTCCGCTGTAATCCCGACTCCTCGTCCGCTGGCTGGAATCCTGCTCAGCCGTCATCCCACTGGCACGCTTTCCTCGACCCATAACCGTTCCCCCATCCCCCCACCCCGACACCGACCCTGACAGGCTCTGTGTCACTACAGCACCCTCGTCTCGGGGCTCCCTGGCTTGGCTGCCTCCCTCCTGCTGGGTGGTCTCGAGTGGTGCAGCGAGTGGGGACTCTGAGGTCAGACACACCTGGGACAGCTCTGGACAAGGGCTTCCCCCTCCCCACCCCCGCTGGCCAGGGCACTGGAAGGAGCAGGGTCTGGGCTTCAGAGACACCGGGAGCCGAGTGGCCCCGCCTGAGTCCCCGCCACCGCATGGCCTCACCTTGGGGCTGCTCTCCCGGTGCCGGACGATACTGTGCAGGCTCCTGGTGACGTGGGTGTCCAGGCTGCGGGCCAGGTTCCAGGGCTTGCAGATCCAGTGGTTGTCCTGGCCCCTGAGAGCACATGGGTTCGGCTAGGCTGTGCCCTGCACCCACCTTCTAGGGACCACGGTCGCCTTCGGAGAGGGACACCGAACCCCTCCCAGGGAGCAGCGGGAGCTATCACAGCGGGGCCGTCGGGGGCTGACCTCACGGAGTGAGGAAGAACTTGCACGAGCCAAGACACGGAGATGTCCGTGGCCGTGGTCCCGGCCGTGCCCCGTGCTGACAGCTCTCAGTCCCGTGGCCAGCACGCAGCGGGTGCGAGCCGGGTGGGGTGAGGCTGGGGGGTGGGGGTACAGGAGTGACGGGGGCCCTCACCGCCTCTCCCGCTGCTGGAAGCAGCTCACAAACTGCGGCAGCTCGGTGCGCAGGTTGAAGGTGCGGGGGAGCCACGCCGGGCCCTCGGGGCCCCCGGCCCGGCGCGCGACGGAGGCCAGGCAGTCCTTCACCGTCAGCAGGTTCTCGCAGGGAAACTGGTTCAGCAGCACGTTGGGCCTCTCCTGGCTGAGCCTCCTGTGGGGCCGAGGCACACGCACGCGGCTCAGGGGTGGCAGGGGCTCTGGGGGCGTCCCCCAACCCCGGGCCTGGCAGGGGGGTGCTCACCTGTAGTCCTTGAAGTGGGAGAAGTTGTAGAGGATGTCCGCGTCCGCCTCGCTCTGGGCAAAGGTGAAGCGTGGGTGCGTCAGGTGCCTGAGCACCTGCTGGATGTCTGTATAGACCCTGCGGGCGGAGTCGGGCTGAGCCGGCCGTGCCCCCTGCGCCTCGGGGACTCGGGCGCTGCCCAGCCTGGGCTGGTGTGGAGGAGGAGGAGGGGGCGGACGGATGGGCTTGGGCCCTGAGGCCAGACAGGCACTGCCTCTCTTTGCTCGCCTACAGGGTGGGGCGACGAGGATCCTTCTGACCCCAGTGTCCCCGCCTCTAAGATGGGATCACAGCCCAACGCACTCTTGTTACTGGGGCGACACGGGATAACCTGAGCTTCTAACAGGTGCGAGCCTGCCTCCCACATGGAACCAGAGGACAGACACAACCAGCCTCCTACTCACACACTGAGCACCGCTGGCTGAGAAGGCAGCTGGAGTCCAGGGGCCTGTGGGGGCGTGTGTAGCCAAGACGGGCGCCCCGGGCAAGGCCCTGTTCCACACCAGTACTCACTGCTACTGGCCCGGCCCGGCCCCCACTGGCCCCGGGGAGAGATGAGGACAGAGCCCGGGAGCTCAGGGGGGGGCAGTGCAGAGGCAGAAGACAAGAGGGGGACCCAGCCTGCAACAGCAGTCCAGGGGAAGAGGTGAGGTGACTGCCGGGGCAAGGCCGGCATGAAGCTCTCGGTCTGTGGCTGGAGCCTGTGGCAGGACTGGGAGCAGGAGGCCAAGACTAAGTGGGCCTCAGTGGGGCCTGTGACCCCGAGGATGGACGGACACTGGGTAGTGGGCCTGGGCACCAGAAAGGACCCCTGGGCTGGCCTCAGGGAAGGGGCAGCGGGCTGGGCTGCCCATTTCTGGCTGGACCAGGCTTGGGTAGTAGCCAGAGGGAGGGACTCCCATGGAGGCAGAAGCCAGGCTGGGACCCGCCTCTGGGCCTGTGCCACATCCAGTGGGGAGCACGGCACACCCACCCCTCACCAGTACTACGGGATGTCTGCTTCCACCTGGCGTCCAGCCTGCTTGGCCTTGCCTCACGTGCCAGCCCACACCTGCTGGCGCCTGCAAACCGCCCTTCCCGGCAGCCCGGCCGCCTCCACTAGGCGCCCCACGCCTTCACGGTTGGCTCAGGCTCCCTGACTCCTGGGGCAGGCCTGGCTGTTTTCACCCAGGACCAGAGGAACACCCCACCACCCCGTCACTTTCACAGCATTCTCTCTGTGATCCTAGGTCTCTGTCCTGGGCTCCTGCCACTGCCATGCCACCAGGATACAGTAGGCTTTCTGAGCGCCCTCCTGTGCCAGGTGCTGCTCTCGAGGCCAGGGGGCTCGGGGGGGGGCGGGCGGGGAGGCTCATCAGGAGCTGAGGGGGAGCTACGCACTTGAAGACGTGGTCGCAGGGATAGGCCACCGGGCTGATGGCGAGCGGCAGCTTCTCCTTGTTCTCCTCCAAAATGGCCTAGAAAGAAAGCACTGAAGGTAGAAACAGACCTCCAAGACAGGAGCGAGGGAACACACGCCACCCCCCATCCTGGCATATCAGGGGGCACCCCGGACCACAGGTGCAGCCTTCCGACAGGCCCAGCAGCAGCCAGAGCCCTCGGACCACCCTCGCCCCAGGACTCTGGGGCTCAAGGCCCCTCAAGGGCCAAGCGACCCATTTGTGTCAAAGAAAAACGTAAACACTTCAAAATCTTCAAAATCTCAGCACTCCGATCGCTCCGAACTGCGGGCAGCTGGGAAGGCGTAAAGCCTGCTTGGCGGGGCAGGGCGGTGCCTGATGCTAGTGGAGCCCCAGAGTGCGGTTCCAACATACGCCCTGTGAGGGTTTAAAACACACCCAGACTCTGCGACATTCCCTCCGGGAGGCGGAAGGAATTCATCTCCCCGTGGGGGTGGGTGGGGCCGAAGGGGCTGTTTCCTGGGGCGTAGGGACGGGAGCAGAGACACACACGGGGAAGGCCCCGCAGCTCTCTCTCAGCTCCTGGGCTCTAAGACAAGCCGGCCATCACGTCCTGGGACACTGAGCAGCCCGGCCAAAAGGCCCCTTGGAGTTAGAGCCGAGGCCTCCCGCGACATGGCCAGTGCCGCCCCGGCACCACCAGGCGGAAGCCGCTCCTTGGCCCCAGCAAAACCTCACTGACGAGGCTGCCCGACAGCCCGGCCACGGTTCGAGAGGGGCTCCGAGTCCAAATCCCACCCTCCTGTCCACAGAAAGCGTGTGGGATGATAAACGTGTGCCGTGTATCCCGTGATCCCGAACTCGTACCAGCGACCCCCGGGGCCCAGAGCACAGGCCCAAGCTGGATAGTCAGATGGGGACAAGCGACCAGGATGCTCGGGCAACTCGAGTTCCGCCTCTGGTGGGACACCCAGGGTTGGCCCCGCCCTGCCCCGCCTGCTGGAGCCCCCCAAGATCAGGAAGCCTCCGGCCCTAAGCCACTCCGAAGGCTTCCTCCTCCGCACGCACTCATTTACTAAGCACCTACAGGTACCACTACTCTATGGGGCTCTGAAACACGCCAGGGACTCAAGACAAGTGACCACGCAGCTTCCTGTGCGGACCGTCCAACCACTACCGGCTTACATGGAATTCCCGGGAAAGGTGCCAGGAGGTCCCACCACGACGGCCCAGCCTCTCCCCAACCACAGCACCCGCAGACCGGCTGACACCCCACGGTGCTTCCCATTCTCGCTCGAGCTAACTGGGCTGCTCCTCTGATCAACTGCTGAGGCCCTCAGTGAATGTGTGATGTGCCCGCGTGGGCAGGCAGATTTCACAGTGGGGCAAGGCTTGTAGCCTCTGCCCACGGGCCGTCACAGGCCCCTGGGGGTTGTACCCCAGCTCTCCTATGAGCTGTGCGACCTTTGGCAGGTTACTTAACCTTTCTATGCCTGTTTCCTCATCCTCAGTAAAGACTGACAGAAACAGGACCTCAAGCCTTTACGCCGCGAGGGCTAGAATCACACACGCCCACAGGTGCCAACTGCAGGCTCGCTCGTGGCCTGGTTCCAAACTGCGAGCAGCCAACAGGAGGCGGTGGCAGGAGACCAGAAGGCAGGGGAGGGTGTTCCCTGTCCAGCCCTGCCTGGTCTCTTAGTGGCCAGGTTCCTAGAGGCTCCACTTCCTCCCTGGCCCGGGGCCTCCCAAACCCTGGTGCCCTGATTTGCCCAAGAGGCTGCCACAGATGAAAAGTGCCGCTGGTGCGGGTAACAGCGGCACCGATGATGGTGGGACTCGCTCTGGCCTCTGGGTCAGAGAAGTCGCCGTGTGATGCTCGAACAGAGTCTTCACATCCCCGGGGAAGAAGACACAGTATGGAGTTGGGATTTGTAACCAAGCCTTGCGGCGCACACCATGCCCCCCTCCCCGCCAGTCCTGGTAAGGAGTCCCCGAAAACGAAGAGAGCAGCACTGACCACCAGCACCCAGCTCCGACCCTCAGACAGCATGGTCCCTGGCCTCGGGCTCCTGCTCACTGCCTGAGCTCGGAGCCCCTGGTCTCTCGAATGTTCACAAACGCTTCACTCCCTCACACGGCAGCCAGCTGGCGCTCAGTAGCATTTGGTGGCCAAAGAACGTTCCAGAAGCCACCAGGCCCCGAGGTCAGGGGCAGACGGTCACACCTGGTAGTGCTCGTCAGGCGGCTCGGGTGTGGAGGAGCTCAAGTCCAGCAGGTCGGCGGGGACCCAGGGCAGCAGCATGCACTTCCGGATCAGAGGGTCGGCCTCCCCGTAGGCAAAGTCCCGGGTCACCTCCTCTGCATCGAGACACGTGGCCCATCAGGGGGCAGCGGGAAAGCAGGGCCCGGGCCCGTCCTTTGGGGTGGGCGGGTGTGGCACTTACCGCCTGTGTCCAGGTCCCGCAGGGGCCACAGCAGCGTGTAGGCCACCTGCTGGGGCATGTAGAAGAAGGGCGCCGTGGCAAAGCTGGGCGTGTCGGAGTGCTGGATGCGCGAGCCGAACTCGTCCATGACGTACCACACCGGCACCTTTTCCTCGGCCGTCTGCAGGCAGAGCACACACAGAAACCGTGTCCACTGGTCTGGCCACTGCCCCTTCTGTCAGGCACCCTCCCACCGGCCTATGCCCCCAATTCCCGGATCCTGGAGCACCTACCACGCACCCAAGCCCCTTAACCGGGTCCAAGAGCCTGGACGAAGACGCACAGCCTACCGGCTACATGGGTGTGTGTGGCAGGGAGAGGGCGAGGGGCACTTCCTGGAGGAAGTGACGTCTGAGACCATGAGAAACATTAAAAATGGTGAGGGGCTAGAGCATGAGGCTGGGTCTAGGGAGGCTGGCAGGAAAGGTGGTGATGGACACCGAGGACGTGTGCTCAAGGGACAGGACTCTTTGGATGTGAGCAAACCCTGAGGGCTTTCAGGGGATGACAGAACCTGACGGCACTGGGCCACAGGAACCAAGTCACGGGGCCCACGTCTAGAGGTCTGAGAAGGTCGTGTCCCGTGAGCTCAAGGGCCCTGAGAACCGGGTGGCCGGGGGCTGAGTAACAGGGCCATGAGGGAGCCCTGGGGAAGAAGGGGGGCCCTGGGAGGAGAGTCTGCTCACTTCCGGGGCAGAGGCCCCTGGGGCTGGGTCCTGGCTCCTCTGGGCTGTCCCTGCTCACCCCGTGTGCCAGCTGGTAGGTCTGGTTGAACCGCCACATCTCCTCCAGCACCAGGTCCTCGGCCTCGGCGCTGGGCAGCTCGCCGTGGAACCCGACGCCCATCAGGTTGGCCATGCGGAGCAGCAGCCCGGGCACCTGCCGCAGCTGCTGGCGCGCGTGCTCCACGCGGCACGTCCAGGCGTGGTCGATGAGGAAGATGCTGCGGGCACAGCCGAGGGCAGGGGTGAGGGCCGGCAGGGGGGGTCTGCCTGGGAGACGAGGGGGAGGAGAGGGGAAAGGCCTGCAGCTGTGGCCTGGCGAGCTTCCACGCCCTCTACCAGTTTCTGCAAAAACCAACGGGGTCCGTACCTCCTGTGTGGGGGCCGGTGTGAGAATCAGAGGAGACAAAACACACAACCTGCTGCCTGTACCAAGTCCCTGTGTTCTCACTGATCGTTACCATCGATCGCTGTCGCGGTGAGCGCCTTCAGCTGCATTTGCACCAGCCGGACCGGCCGCGCCCCCCAACCCTGCCACCTCAGGTGCGGGCGCTCAGGAAAAGCAAATGCCACACACATCGGGAAGCCAGTGGCGGGGAGGCATGCGAAGGGGCTCCAGCTCCGGCTGGCACAGCAAGCCCCCACGCATTTGGACCTCTGTGGCCCACGTGCCCAGTCCCCCTGGAAGAGCCCAGGGGTGGGGCCACCGCAGAGGACCAGGCAGGCATTCCCACGGCAGGCCCAGGGCCACACCTGCCCTCCCGCCCCTCAGGGCAGGGCTTCTGGGACACCCTCCAGAACCCTGCCGGAAGGGAAGCTCTGGCACCCAGGGGTGTGGTCTGCCTGCTGGGCAAAGCCACCCTCACCTCCCTTCCCCCGGGTGACAGCAGAAGCTCCAGCTCTTGGGCTGGGGGCAAAATCGACAGCACCTGTTCCACTGGGCTTCTAGGACTGTTCGTCTGTGCACGCAAAGCAAGTGCTTGTGCTCAGAGGTTCAGACCACGGGAAGCCACGCTTCAAGGTGGGACAATGCTTGGGAGTACTGTGCCGTACACAGCAGGAGCGGGGAGAGGATAAAGCTGGAGTCTGGCAATCAGGGGAGACTCAGAGCTCTGCAGGGAGAAAGGCCCGGGAGCGGGGAGGGCTGTGGAGTGGGAGGAGCTGAGACCAAAGGCAGGACTCCGCTCGCGTCCCCTCCGGTGCCCACCTGGCGGGGGTGTGCGCTCAAGGGTGTGGAGGGGCAGCGAGCTCCTGGAGGTCGCTTCGGGGCCCAGGCTCCAGAGCAGGTGCACTGAGCTGAATGCGAACGGTGAGCCTGCAAGTTTCTGAGGCAGACAGCCCGCAGGTGGAGGGGACCGGCTGCTGTCGTTCCCTGAGTGACCACTCCCGCCCCTCACAGGTTGCTCTGCAGAAGAGGCGGCCGGCCAGACTCTTCCCCGAAGAGCCATGGACACAGGGGCCTGGGGACCCTGAGAGGCCGGCAAGTGTCCTCTCCAAGGGTCCAACGAAGTCTGGCGGACGAGTCTGCAGGCCTGCCGTGGCTGGAGGCAGGAATCCCAGGGTGCAGTCTTAGCTGTGCCCCATACACACCGAGGCCCAGGGCCATGCCAGGCCTGCTCTGGGCCCTGGTGTCCTCCCGAGGAATCAAGGAGACCACACTGCTCACAGCCCGGGCATAAAGCCCTGGGAGAACCTGTTACAATTCCTGGGCTCCCCGAGACTGGGATTCAGCAGGCCCGGGGGAAGGTCCTCCGAACAGTCTGGGCTCGCGGGTCAGGCTGCCCGGCGTTCCACACCCCGGCTCTTGGCCAGCTGTGACTTTGGGCAAGTCCTTCCCGTCTCACTGGCAAAATCGGCACCCATCACCCCTCTGCTGTGGGACCCTCCTGGTGGTGGGGAGGTGCTGGGGAGGCTGAGCTCGCGTCTGTCTGAAACATGACTCACACGGGAACGTCAGCAGCGGTCGGGGCCGACCCGACCACGGGGCCCGGCTGGAACCTCGGGTGGCCACGAGCACCCGGGACACGGCAAACACGAGGGCCTGCCATGGCTGCTTCTCTCCAGAGGAGCCCGCGCTGAGGACCACGGCACAGACCACAGACCACAGACCACGGGCCTGTAGCTCCTACCTGTTGGGGTCGGCCGCCTGGAGCCCGTTCTCGCTGGTCACGATGACCTTGTAGCAGAGCTCGCCGCCAGGGTTGGGCTGCCTCTTCCGAGCTTCCCGGGCCTCCTCGCCCTCACTCTCCTCCTCCACTTCCTGCACTTGCATAATCCCGAACATCTCCCCGGCATCGAAAACCTGGGGCCACGAGCAGGGGTGTTGGCAGGCTCCCCAGGCCAGAACCCCCGCCTCACAGAGCGCCACACCCTGGCCTCAAGGACCAATCCAACTCCTCGGGACGCAGGGCCTGTTTACCCAACCACCCATCTTCTGGGTGGGGAAACTGAGGCTCCTGGAGATCAGCCAGAACCATGACCTAACCAGGGTCACCAGCTCCTGTCCTGGGTGTGCTCAGACGCGGGCTGCAGGCATGTGTGGCCAGGCCAGAGGTGAATCTGAGAGCTGGGATCTTGGCGGGGCCGGGGATCTCACTCCAGCCCTCCAGCAGGACGGCAGAGGCACCCCAGAAAGAAAACAGGCGGCTGAGAACCTCCCACAGCCACCGCGCCAGCCCTGCCGAGAAGCGGTTCGGGCCTGCACAGCGTGGGCTCTGGGCTGGTCTCCTGAGGGTCTGGGTCAGAAAGATAAGGACCTTGGTCCTTGAGTTTCCTTGCCAACCACACGTACACGAAGCCTAGCCGGCCTGCCCCCCTCAGCCACACTCCCGCACTGTGTGTCTGCCGCCACTTGGCAAGGGGCCTTAGGACAGATGCTGGAGCCAGGCCATGGGGCCTTGAACAAGTCACTGAACCACGCCATGCCTCAGTCTCCCCATTCATATAATGGGAACAGCAGCACCGACTTCCCACGGTTGTGGGAAGGATGAAATGATAAACAGACATCACAGGCTTGGAGGACACTAAGCTCGGCCCATGCCCTGTGAGCACGCCACCACCATTCTGCTGCTGAGAGCAGCCTCTCCCTGGGGAAGAAGCATCCTCGGCCTTCCAGGAGAGCTGAGTGTTCAATCAACAAACAGTGCACCGACAGTCCCTGGCACAAGCAGGGACTCAACAAAAGCCAGTTCCCCCGAAACCCACTTCTCAGGACCCTGACAGAAGCAAGCGTCACGCAGATGCAAACCAGCTCCCTACTCAGGCACACACCGCTTCTCTGTGCCGGGCTCCAGCCTGTGAGGCAGAACCACTCACTATCTTGCCCAGGGAGCCGCCGATGGCGGAGCAAGGTGGGAGGCGTAAGGTCCCCGGTGCTGGGGCCTGACGGGAGCTGAGCGGCACAGCGGGGGAGGATCTGAACACGTGGCTGGGGGCAGTGGTGCAAGGACCCGCAAGGACCCCAGGCCGGGGTACAGAAGCTGAGGGAAGGGAAGGCTGTGGAACCGGTGGAGCACGCCAGGGCCCTCCGAAGACCAGGGGAGCTTCCTCAAGCCAGGATCCCTGAGCAGTCAGAACCGGGGGTGGGGGGCTGGGGTGCTACCTTCCCTCCAGGACAGAGCTGCTGAGAGGACCGAATTCACTCTGGGTTTCAATCTAGAACCCAAATCCCCAGTCCTCGTCCCCAAATCATATGGGAGGGAGGGGGCACACAGTGAGGTAGCCTAAGGCCCTGGGGACAGAGGGCCTGCCTCCCCACCATGCTGTGAAATGAGGGGGGACCACAATCTCTCCCTGGAGGAAAAGCCCCTAAGAGGTATCGAAGGGGAAGGGCTTTAGCTGGGAAGTTCCTGCTGGGAAAGTTGGAATTTATCTTAAAACACTCCCCATCCTTTCCAACTGATTTGAGGCAAGGCACCAGGGTCGACGGCCTTGCAGGGAGGTGGAGGTACCCCATTCCTGTTGGCAGGTGCCCTCCCCCACACCTGGGCCCAGAGGAGAGTGGCAGGTTTCACTGAGAACAATGGATGCAGGTTTTGGGTCTAGTAAAGTGATGACTCACAGCTCGGCCCATAACCCCTCACGGCAAGGGAGGGTCATGGAAAAATACTGGCTGCCCCCTCGTAGAGCTACAGCAGCCAAGGCAGAGGGGACGCTGCCCTCCATGTGCTGGTGCCGGCTGATGCTCGTCTCAGGCCTCCCCAACCGGTCCCCTCTAAGACTATGGGAGCTGGGGCCCTATTCCACCATCGGGCTTTCCAGGAGACTCCAGCTCAGATGGACCAGTGTTGCCCAAATGAGGGTTTACTGCCCAGAGGCTGGCTATCCCGGGGGGTTCCCACATCGTGTGCCTTTCACCCAGAAGAGGACCTTCTTCTTATCCTAACAAACTGGGGGAGGTTCCCAGCATATGCCTGGGATCAGAGCCAAGGGCTCAGGAAACACTGGTGGAGTGGAGGGCGAGCCATACGGGAAGGAGATTCTCAAGAGGCAGGGACATACTGGGTGCCACTGACGCTTTTTTTTTTTTTTTTTTTTTTTTTTTAGCAACGGTGGGTTTGGAGCAAGAGTCAAGAGAGTTACCTGTCGAACCCTGATTTAACACAGAAAACCTGGCTGAGAAGGTGGGCTCTGTGGGGCGGCTGGGCTGGGGTGACTACCTCTTCCTGGCTCTGGGGCTCCACTTCATTGCCTGCCCCAGTCTGTCTAGGCCCCCAAGACAGCCCCCCACCCAAGAAGAGCCTTGTTTCAGCTAAGAAGTCCTCCCTAACGGACCTGTGTATGTGCTTTGGCTTCAGCAGCTGGGCAAATGACCCCAAGCCAGGGCCTGCTCATTGGCCAGTATCCATGGGGCACCCGGCTGGAGGCCCAGCTAGAGAAGGCTGGTGGGCAGAAGGGAGCCGTCCCCACAAAAGGGCAGAGAATCTAGAAGCACGGGAACCTTTTTCTTTAGATTTCCATCTCCCACAATCTGTTTTCTTTCATCTGCAAAAATGAGGGTGACCGGGGATCAAATCAAATGATGAGACAAGAAAGAATTCTGTGACCCGAACAGTGAAAGCCACACAAACTCTCGAGACATCTACTCTCCCTGGAGGTGGCAGTGACTGAGAGCGAGGGACAGGTTCCCAAGTGTGACAGGCTTTGGGAGACACTTCCTCTTCCTGTGACTCAGTTTTTTCAACCGCATAATGGGGATGACAAAGCTGCGGGACGCAGACGTGTGGAGAACTCAGGATAGGTCCCGACACACCAGGGGAGCCGCACACACAGCCCGGCCAGCCCCAGACACTGGCAGAACCGGGGCCCCAAAGTCTAGAAGCTCCTAAACCGCCCAGGAGGCGACGTCTAAGTCGGTCACCAGGGCATGGGCGCTCTTCACAGCCACCCCCACGCGTTTCTCCCGCCGCGTTCCAACACGGCCACGCCCCCGGCGCGTCCCACCCCGGCCTGCGCTCCGCCGCCGCGGCTTCTGCCGCCCGGCAAGGCGCTCGCTCCCCTCCCGCCCCGGATACCCTCCCAGCCCCGTGCCCACCAGTCGTCCCGGGGTCCACCGGCCGCCACGCAGCGCCCCTGGCCCGGCCTCCCCGCGCCGCGCCCCGGCGGCTCTCGGCCAGCGGCCCGCCCGCAGCCACGCACTTCCCGGGAGAAGGGTCCGCGCCGCCCGCGCCCCGGCTCCCCAGGCCCCGCTCTGCGCCCGGGTCCTCCCGGCCGGCGCCTCGCCCGCCCGCACCTCGTGCTCCAGCTTGTGCAGGAGGCGGCCCCAGTACCGCTCAGGGACTCCGGACGCGCGCAGCGCCGGGCCGTGCAGCGCCGCGAACTCGGCCCGGGCCCGCGCGTCCTCCTCCGCAGTCCGGTCCGGGTCGCGGCGCTCCCCGTTCTCTGGGTTCCCCGACCCCGCGTCGGCGTCCATGGCGGTAGCGCCAGCGCCGAGTCCCACTCCGCCGCAGCCCGCCGGCCCGGCCCTCCGACTCGGCCCGCCCGCGCGCGCCCCGCCCTCCACCCGAGCTCCCCGCGGCCCCCGCCCACCGCCCGCCCGGCGCCGGCTCGCGCGGGCCGCCGGGAGCCAACTTCCCGGAGCCGGACCCAGAGCCCGGAGGCCCGGCCGGCCGAGGGGCGCGTGCGCAATGCGTGATGCGTGAACGCGCGGGCCTGAGCGGGGGGTGCGCGGGCGTGCGGCGCGTTGGGGGATTGGCGCTGCTGGCCTGTGCGCATGCGCGCCGGCTGGGGGCGGTGTTTGCTCTCTCGAGCCCCGCGGCTGCCCCGGGGGATGCCGGGAGCCAGGTTGTGCGGCGTCCACGCGGTCGTAAACGGGAGAGAGTCCGCGCACGGTCCGGAAAAGGGACCGGAGGCCTGGAGAATGGGCTGTTCACGGCGTGGACTCGCCTTTGACGCCTCGCAGACCCCGGGGGTGGGAGGGGTTCTTTGATTCTTCTGACTGATCCACCAGATTTAGGAGCTGCAGAGTCGTGGCCCTTCTTAATTTCTGTGCGTTTGGATTCAGCGCGTACGTTTATTCAGTGAAGCCCGCGGTGGTTCTTGTCCGTGGAGGTGTTGCGGAGGCATTTTAAGTGCAGTTAACAGAATTTCAAAAACCAGGCTTCGGACGTTCTTTTTTTTCAAGGTGTCCCGCGTTTCACTGTCGTGTTTGCAACTTCGCAACCGTTGCTAAAAAGCGCGAAGGCTGATTTTTTTTTTTTTTTTTTGGTGCTTTCATTTCTGAATACTTTGATTAAAAGTTTTAAGTTGTGTTTGGATAAAATGCAGTGGTTTCAGGGACTTGTTCAATCCCGCCGGGACATGTAACGTTGGTGTGCAAAGGTTCACACTTCCAAAGCACACTTGGTGAGGGCACAGGGAAAAAGTTCCTGCCGCGCTAAAGTACTTTTATGTATCCGCCACCAGCTTTGTCACGGACATTTTGTACTTCAGTTACTCTAATTATGAAAAAATGTGAATTTTGACAACTACGATTTCTAATTCAATTGCTGTAACTTACAGCTTGTTAGGATGAAATTATTAACCACATCCAGTTCCAAGTACACTTCTGGCCTTTGGGGTTTTTACTTTAGTAAAAACCTTGGTCCCTTTGTGCTGTGCCCATTGAATTTTTTTTTTTTTTAAGTCTTATTTATTTATTTATTTATTTGACAGAGATCACAAGTAGGCAGAGAGGCAGGCAGAGAGAGAGAGGAAGCAGGCTCCCCGCTGAGCAGAGAGGCCGACGTGGGGCTGGATCCCAGGACCCTGGGATCATGACCTGAGCTGAAAGCAGAGGCTTTAACCCACTGAGCCACCCAGGCAACCCCCCATTGAACTTTATATGAGTGTTATCATTGCAAAAAAAAAAAAAAAATGGCTTTGGTGTTCACCTTTTTAACTGAATTTAGCTGAGTAGCATTTTTTATTTTTTTATTTTTAATTATTTTTTTTAAAGATTTTATTTATTTATTTCACAGACAGAGATCCCAAGTAGGCAGAGAGGCAGACAGAGAGGGGAGGAAGCAGGCTCCCGGCAGATCAGAGAGCCTGATGCGGGGCTCGATCCCAGGACCCTGGGATCATGACCTGAGCCGAAGCCAGAGGCTTTAAAACCCACTGAGCCACCCAGGCGCCCCTGAGCAGCATTTTTAAAAAATGATTTTATTTATTTGAGAGAGAGGCAGAGATAGAGCATAAACAGGTGGTGGGGCAGAGGCAGAGCGAGAAGCTGCCTCCACGCTGAGCAGGGAGCCCAATGTGGGGCTCGATCCCAGGACTCCGGGACCATGACCTGAGCGGAAGGCAGACACAACCAGCTGAGCCACCCAGGCACCCCTAGCTGTTTAGCATTCACAAAAAGGTTGTGTGATGTGATGTGGGCCAGGAGTGAATGGTCAAGAATTCTTCAGATGTTTTCAGGGCAAGAGGGTGTTTTTATTAAAGCACAGGGCAGGACCCGTGGGCAGAAGGAGTTGTACTGGGGTCCTGAGGAGCAATGGATTATGTACTTTTAAGTTGGGAGAGGAGTAGAGGTAACGGAATTTCCAAATGGATATTCTTGTGTTTCTAAGACTTAAAGGATCGTGAAGATCTGGCGGTTGTCCAGCTAAAGTTGCTTTTTGCCTCTAGCAAAGCATTAAGATGGTGGCTAATTCCTTGAGAATGTCATACTCTGCTGTCTCAGGTATTTATCAGGGGGTTGCAAATTATAAGGAAGTTGGGGCGCCTGGGTGGTTCAGTGGGTTAAGCCTCTGCCTTCGGCTCAGGTCATGATCTCAGGGTCCTGGGATCAAGCCCTGCTTCGGGCTCCCTGCTCAGCGGGGAGCCTGCTTCTCCCTCTCCCTCTGCTCCTCCCCTTGATCATGCTCTCTGTCTCTCAAATAAATAAATAAAATCTTAAAATACTTTAGAAAAATGAGTGAAATGAGTGTAGAACAAGTCATATGCTGTAAACAAAGTCGTGACTTCAGGAGTGGCGGGTCAGCCCACTTCTGCAGCTGGTTAACTGCATTTATGGGTTAACCCATTTCTGGACACCGTCTTTGAAATAATCTCTGACTAGTGAAAATAGATGGGATGCTTCGGAGTCAGAATTGTGTTGTCTGGTGTGGCTTGTGGCTAGTGACGTCTCTTTGGCGCCCACAGTGGAAGCTAAAAGCCAACAAATATCTTGTGGAGGTTTCAGTTTCATAATTGGCTTTGCAAAATGGAGATTCAGAACCGATTGTTAAAGGAAACATGGACGCCATTTCTGTGAGTGTCCTGCTCCTGAAAAGATGGACTGCCCAATCAGAACAAAATACAGATAAAAAACTTCTGCCACACACGGGCCAATCTGCTGCGGCAAAATGCTCAGACTCTTCCGCATACCCCGGGGCAGGACCACTCAGCCTCTGTTTCCCACGCCCGTCTTGTGCGTGCACAGCTACCCTGTAATTTTCCCCGAAGCCTCATGTACCTTGCAGCCTACAGCATAGCGCACAAATCAGGTGGTAGGTAGACGGGGGCAGCGGGACCTCCCACTGAAGATTTAGTACATAACGGTATTGTAACTCCGTAAGAATTTTTATCCATTTCGCTGACCTGATCATCATGAATAACAACTATGTGATATTATTTATCATGCATTACAGTCTGGTGCCTATGTAGATAGCATATGTCATACATATAATAATTATTTTATTATGAGCAGCTGTACGTTGCACTAGCTGAAAACCTACTTGTCCTCTTTGATACCTCCATCTCCGCCCCCCTCCTCTAGCTTGCAGTTTATCTACTCCAAGGACAGTAATTCCAACTGGGACTGGCTTAAGGATAAAGGGTATTTACTGACTCACACCGTGTTATGCACTGAATGTTTGTATCTCTATAGATTCATATGTTAAAATCATAACCCCCAGTGCTACGGTATTTGGAGAAAGGGCCTGCGAGGAGGTGATAAACGTTAAATGAGGTCAAACGAGTGGGGTCCTAATCTGACAGGGCTGATGTCCTTACAAGAAAGGAAATAGATACCAGAGCACTGTCTCTGCCAAGTGAGGACACAGTGAGAAGCCAGGAAGAGAACTCTCACTAAGAACCAAATGGGCTGGCCCCTTGATCTTGGACTTCCCAGCCCCCAGAAAACAAATTTCTATAGTTTACGCTACATGGTCTGTGTCATTTTGTCATGGAAGCCAGAACCATGCAACACATAGGCATTCATGTGGGCTTCAGGTCCGGCTTGATCGAGGGGCACACAGGCATCACAAGGATCCAGTTTTCCTGTCTAGTCTCTCAGCTCTGCTTTTCTGTGCATTGGCATTCCTCTCTGATAGGCTGCCCCCTTGTAGCCATAAAGCAGCTGCATCAGCTTTGGCCTGTCTCCTCTCAGAGGTCACTCTTGCTGGGAAGGGGAGCCTGAGTGTCTATGTTTCTCTCGCATGATTGTTGGGTCCTATGAACATCGCTGACCCATCCCTCCGACAGGGCAGGCCTGTTTCGCATTCTCTTCATCAAATGCAAACCTAGCGGTATCAGGTCCCCACTTGAAATCTTGTGTGGTTCCCCAGTGCCCGGGAGTAAAAGCCCAGCCCTTCGTGGGGCCTCAAAGGCCCTGCTGACCTCTCCAGCCTCCTCTTAGCATGTCCTCCCTATCTTTGACTCCTGCCACTCTGGCCATCTCCAGCACTTGCAGGGGGACACACAGCCTCCGTCTTGGGGGTTGTGCTGCTCCTTCTGCCTGGTGGCCCTTGCCCTCCGCTCCCCTCCTTGATTCCAACTCCTTTCTGGGGTCTCAGCTGAAGGGGTGTCCCCTTAAAGAGCCACTGACTATGCAATCTGGTTGACATTCACTCCTGTCTCTGCTTCCCTCACCCCCAGGGGAAAGGAAAGGACAGAGAAAGAGGAAAAAAGGAACTTCTATCTGGAAAATCACAAGCCTAGGGTGAACTTTGGCCCCTGAAAGTTTCTCCGGGGAGGGCTATGCTGGGAGCACACCCGGGACCCTAAGTGCCCCTTTACCTGCTGCTCAACTGAAGAGGCAGCGGTCAGCTTCCAAGCGGAGGAGAGCCACGGGCAGGCTGCAAGCTGGGCTCCAGGCTGGTCTCCAGGACGGCAGCTTCGTAAGGAAATGTGTTGAAACCCACGCTTTGGCTCCGCTGTCCTATAAAAGACTGAACGTGTCTAACGCCAGAGCGTGTCGCGTGGTCAGGCAACAGCGGTGCTGCCCCTTCCAGCGTCACAGTCCCGTCCACCTCCGGGAAGGAAGTCCAGGTGTGGGAGGGGACATTGCTTACTTCCAGGCTTCAGAAAATTCTTTCCTCACATGTGTCCGCATGTACGTACATAGTAGATTGTTTAGTTCAAGGATACGATGTGATGTTCTCAGGAAGCTTTTATTTCACGCCACATGGTGATGTTTTATCTCGTTTAGATTGGAACGGGTTTTGCTCCCATCTTCGACACCAAGGGGCTCTCCACCTCTCTGATTGTTTGATTCTGA